GTGAAACTGGAGAATACCTATTCACATAATTTCACAGGAATGCTTAGAGACACTACTCGCCACTACAACACCTTGCGTGAAGCTAAATATGAGAAGTAAACTGAACCTCTAAGATTAGCCATTGGCGGCAAGCTCAAATAAAACTATAGAAACAAGAGGAACAAAACCAACAAGAGTAACAACATATATTTACTTTTTGGACACAGTGTGTTACAGTAGTAGATGTTCAAAATTCCCCCACTTTCTTTGAGGGGTCCTTGGCTGGTCCTTCTCTGGTCCCCTACAATTCCTTTATAAACATCAATCGTACTAAAATATTCTTTCTGTCATGATTTGTGGACATTAAGATCTAAAGAGAAGCATTTTCTTCTGGTCAGACCCTGGAATTTGTAAAATCCACTGTCACTACAAGCATGCTTAGTGTGAGGGATTGCCTTCGAGTCAATGAGTCGATGCAATCAACTGATTTTACTTTGATAGAAACTTTGAATCAATCTGACTGGATGATCTGGTGAACTGGAAAGTGCCTTGAGATGACATGTGTTGTGAATTGGTGCTATAGAAATAAACTGAATTGAATTGAAAATTAATTCAGTGAAAGGGTGGAGTCAGAGTGGAAAAATATGCAAGAGGAGGCCACTCCAGTATCTGGAAGTTGGAGGGGATTTTGCTAGTAGTTGGAGGGAAGTGGGTTCCCATTTGGCTGGTGTTTGACAGGGAAGGGCCATTTGGAATAGCTGCTACTTTATAACGAGTAAAAAAAATTATAAATAAATAAAACTGAAATCTTTAAAGTTCTGAGAAAAGGTGCAAAAAATGTTTTCTTTAAATTCTCTACAGTGCAGGGTTCTGCTCCCACCGAGGCTGAGGCTGCATATTAACATTTCTAAATATGAGATCTTTAGTCTAAAAAAAAAAAAAAAAAAAAAAAAAAAAAATCAAAGAAAGTTTGTTTTTTTTCAAACCTTTTTATATTACACAATAGCAACAACATTATATGCATTTGAGCAAGTTACTGCTCTGAGTTTAATTAGCAGATCATCCATTTGAAAGGGCATTTTTTATTATACGTGTTCCAACGTGGCAGATGTTTGCCCTCTGGCTCTGTCCTGAAAAAATGGTGGCCCCATGAATTATTTAGGTTTCCTATCCGTGGCTTAGAGCGAGTAGAAAATTCTGCTGCGTGACAGAGTGGTCTGAGAAAGACTGCTCTCTAGCTTCAGCCTCACTCCTCTGTCTGCTTCAGGATGGATTTGAAGTAAGTAAAATGTTCTGAATAGTTTTCACTGACAGGATAAAGTGCTTTACAACAGAAATAAACATTTGAAGATTTTCTTGATTGTTTTACAAAACGTGCTGAGTATTGTCTATTCATTTAGCAGACCCACCTTCAGCAAGGAGGTGATTAGCTTCCATGCTTTAGGCTTATTCATTTTAGCACTTTCAGATGCTTATATCTGAAGTGCACCATGAATAATATTCATCACTATTATCATTGTCATTAGGGGTGTAAATCAAACCCATCATGGCGATTCGAATTAATATCAATTTCCCGACCCAATGATTCAATTATTTTCGATACTCAAGAATACACCACAATTCGATTCGATTAATTGTTTCTTTTTTTTTTGTTTTTTTTTTTGTTTTTTTACACCTTACAGGCTAGACAATGTTTCAAATTTGAAATAAATCAATGAAAGCTGTAATATCGTTATAGATTTTTTTTTTGTGAGAAACTACAGCAAATAACTGAAGTAGAAAAGTTGCACTCCATCTATTCCTATTAAAACCTCATTCACTGACAAATAATAATACCCATCGCGTTATAGATTCTGAAAGGCCTTGCATTGATAAATACTGCACAAAATCAGTGCAATGAGTGCAATGCAATACCTCGGCTCCAGACGTCCCGCCCCCTCCACAGACGCTCCTCTCCCAAATTGTAGCTGACCGCAGACAGCGCCACAGACAGGAGGCCGGCTTGTTTTGTTTTTATGACTAAAATTGCAGAAAACACCTCGTGAAGTTTGACCCGCTAGAAGAGCGAGGTGCGCGAGAACGCTGGGACCCTTTTTCCACCTGGATCTCCGCTCTTTTTGGCCCTCATGTCCCTCCGTCGTCGGACTAAACTCGCCCCCACTTCCTCGCCGCCTCGGCCGTATCTAGACCCACAGTGTGTAGCGCAGACCACGCTTCAATACTGAGCATAATTTAAAAATGTCTGTGTCAAGCTCACTGCAACACACTGCTGTAAGAGTATAACCAGGAAGCGAGGTAGGAGGGCAAAATAGGTTTAGCGCCACCGCAGCACGGGAGGAGAATTACGCCCAGGAGCAAATGGATAAAAATAGACTGGAGGAAAAAAACATGAATAGATTCTCTTGCGGACGTATCGATGCATCGGATCGTTGGCTGTTGGATTGATGCATCGATACAAAACAGTTATTATTTACACCCCTAATTGTCATTATTGAAGCTCTATCTCCATGGCTTAGAACTTCATCTTTCTTTCTTTCATGCTACAAATATCACCCCATATTCACTTTTTTAATAGTGCAGATTGAACCCCTTTCCACAGGTAGATCACCTGTAGCTCACATGTAAGTAAACATAACAGTCAGATGCCCTAGAAGTCCCACTGTGCTGTTTCAAAATCAAGAGACTACTGAAAGAATGGTTTACAATTTCATTTATTATTCATTTCCACCGGCGGTCGTAAACAAATCCTTTGAGAGCCAACCTCTAGGCACGGTTCTTTACCCTAAACATCTGAACCAAACAGCTCATCTGCTTCACTCAGAATATCAGCTAATGTCAGAGTCAGGTGTCAAAATGGCGGCGCGCCGGTAGCTGTTACCTACAATGCGCTGACCCTTGTGTGTCATTTCTTTGTTAGGTCAGTTATGTTTGCTTATGCAGTCATTTAGTTCGGGCACAGTTTGCTTGAGGTTAATTTTGTCTTTTGGGTTGACCTCTTTTATGACCTAAACCCATTTCTTTTTTGTAAGTTTTTTTTTTTTTATGGTAAAAATAAAAACACAATTTTTGAATGAATCCCTGTGACTCATGCTTCTTACCTCGGTCCCCCACAAGGGGTAATAAGGATCATACAAAATTGGTTTGTTCTCTACTTCCATGCCTTCGATAAGAAGTTTTCTTTGAAGTTGGTAGATGCGTTCTTAGAAGTTTTGAGTAGATTTAACTAAACTTTTAAGCCTCTTGGTATACAATTTATATTTTCATCGAGATTAGAAATCTACTACCCGGTATGTTGAAGTAAAAATAGGTTGCATCCAATAATTTATATAAATGGCCTTATGCTCCAATTTGAAGTTAGCGATCTGTCGTTACCATATCCTAATTTGACTTTAATGTTTAATTTGACAAGTGATTCTTCAACTTCTGTCAGTTATACTTGTTACAAGTGCTGTTGAGGAACGTGCTAACTTGGGCATTAAAGCAGTGAAAACTTTGCTAAGGTCAACTATGGGACAAAAAAGGTTTGTGGATTTGCTACTTATGAATTTTCACAAAGACAAACAGAATTATTGACATATTTGCTCAGAAGCATCCCAGAAGGTTGATGTTTGTGAACACATTATCATCACCATCATAAAGTTAAAGTTGTTATATAAGAATAAATATCTTTTAGGTATTGCTGTTCTGTTATAGGCTTATGGTTTAACATCAACATGTTCATTGCTGATCGTTTAACTTCATTTTTCTAAAGATTTTCTTCTTATCATTAAGTTTTTCAGTTTAAAATATATTCAAAAATCCTTTTTCACTGGAAACCATGACATACTGTTCAATCTTTGAGTCTTTTTTATGTCATTTTTATAAATAAATAAAATTTCTGGAAATAAAGAAAAGCTTCTATTGATGAATTGTAATGGATAATTTTTAACCGTGTACATGTTAGGAATCCAGTTTGTGTGGGTTATGTTTTTGTGTCATTCTCTCCCTCCACCACCAGGTGGTGCCCTGTCCTCGTTGGTCCTCTCACACACCTGCGGCTGGTTGACTCATCACTGAGGATTATTTGAGCCATGGACTGCCACTACCTCGGTGCCAGAGCGTTTGCCAGTTTTGGGTACTCTAGCCAAGCTGAGTTTTTCTGAGCCTAACCTAGTTTTTTGTCTTTCCCTTTTCGGCAGGAAGCCTTCCTGTAAGCTGGATGTTTGGCCTTCTCCCCCTGGAAGGATTGTTTGAGTCTCACACTCAGCAGGGGATAAACCTCCTCAAGTTCCGTTCAAGCCCTCCTGGATTCCCAAGTGACAGTCCGCTCAATAGCTCCTCTGGGTCTAACCAAGTCTATACCTGTCCACCCTCCAACGAGTCTCAACCTCTGCATAAACCCATCCAGACTGGATTTTAATACGAAAGTTTTCTCCTCTAACGTGAGTCCCGTTTTCTCTGTCTCTCCAAGTTAGGGCTGGGCAATAATTCAATAACGATATATATCAATCGATAGACGTGTGGCGCAATAGAAAAAAAGAGAGTCGATAAAAGTTCGATAAAGAAACGTAGTTTTCCTTCCTTCTCATTGTAGCCTATCATGTAGGTTTATGCTAGTCACTACTTCCTCCTAACCAATCGCAATCGCAGACCCAGGCACGCCGTCACAAAGCGCCGCCCTCTCAAACCACAACGCAGAGCACATGAAGATGTCGCAGCAAGGAGAGGCGAACAGAACATAATACTGCATAGCAGGATGAGCGACTTAGTTCAGTTAACTCATCCAGCATCAACTTCTAACAAATACTTCAAAGGAATGGGCAATTCAGATCCAATTAAACAGAAATACAGTTTAACCATTAATACTATTAGAATCCAAAGGTGATAGAAGTTAGGTTTGATTATATTAAGTAAAAAAAACAGATCCCAATAAAATGAGACAATAGATTTCAGAAGACAATGTCAGTCAAAACTATCTGATATATTTAGCCATAAAACCAGATAAAAAATAGTCATGATTGCTTACTGTAACAAGCCCATACCTTGATCCAGATCAAACTCCTCCATGGTGCTCACAAAGTGAGGTCGGGAGTAGAAATTGTGAGGCCCCGGCTGCTGGAGCCCACCCAGGCTGAACAGGCTTCGCTCATTCCCGGCGCAGCAGGAGAAAGCCCTCCGACTGGGGATGCAGGTGAACCGGGTCCAGCTCTTCATCTCCAGGTCGAAAGCCTCCAGTGCCGTTACTGGCATCTTTCCCTGCCGACCACCTGCAGCAGGAGCAAAACAGCAGCTTTTATATCAGCTGTAGAGGCTTCCAGACATGTTCAGTGCTTCAAAAATGTAGAGTCCCTTATTTACTCTATTTCCTCTGTTTTTGATTTGCCATCAGATCATGAAGACAAGTTCCTTACAGAGACAATGACTATATAGTTATGTTGCTATAGGCTTAGACTGCTGGAGGACATAGGGACCCCTTTTTCATCATTCTGCTTCATTCTATCTCTATTCTCCCACTCTGCAGAATCTGTTAGTTCAATCTCTAACGTTCTGCTCTCTCTGCTTTTTCCTCATAGTAGCTTCATCTGGTCTGTTCCTGTTTGGCTGTGACTCCATCACAGCTGCTGCCATCAACACCTTTGTTTCTAGATGTTGGAGCTTGGCCTGTTTTCCAGTGTAGTCCTGTTTCTCTGACTGTGACTAACTGGATGTGCTCTCTTCATCCTCTGACATGGGAGCTGGCTCGTAGCTCGTCTGCCTGGCTGTGTGTTTCCTGGACGGGGCCGCCTGTGGAGCTGGTTGACAGTTGCCTTTTGCATCTATGCTTCTTTTTCTATGTCTGCTTCTGTCTCCTTGAACCCCAGTGGGCCTCAGCAGATGGCCGCTCACACTGAGCCTGGTTCTGCTGGAGGTTTCTTCCTGTTCAAACGGAGTTTCTCTCTCCGCTGTCACTTCAAGGAAGCTTGGTGTGAGGGATTGCTTTTGAGTTAATGAGTCAATGCAGTCAACTGTTTTTTCTTGAAAACTTTGAACTTGTATAGTTAATTATATTTAACTGGAATATAAATGCAATTTCCCAATAATGACTCAACTATTAAGGGTAGAATCTAACCAAACCAACCGGGAAACTCCTGCATCACTGAGGATGTTTGGTAACCAATGATGTTATTGCTTTGGTTTAAGCGGCCTTTATTTGTTTTATTTCTGAAAGTAGGTTGACAGGAAATGGGATTAGAGAGAGAAAAGACATGGAGCAAATGTCACCGGGCCGCTACTCAAACCTGAGACGAACACGTCGAGGGCCAAAGCCTCCGTTCACAGGTCGCACACTTGAACCCTATGCCACAGCCAGGTCCAGGGTCTAAAGTTTGTAGGTTTTTTTTGCTAGATGGATGAACTCATTGTTTTAACAATGAAAGTAAGTTATCCAGGTGCTAAAGAACCAAAGCAGCCATGGGCCATCACTCTACCACTACTATGCTGGACTGTTGTTTGGGCTTTAGTAATCCGGATGTAGCAGTCAGAGGTGTCAAGGAACGAAGTACAAATACTTTGTTACTGTACTTAAGTACACTTTTTAGGTATCTATACTTTACTCCATTACTTATTTTTGTTCCTACTTCTGACTTCTACTCATTACATTTTCACACAAGTATCTGTACTTTCTATTCCTTACTTTTTAAAACGAACGTTACTCGTTACTCTTGGTTTCGGTTTAATGTTTCTAAATCTTTATTTCACGTCATGTGCTCCATCCAATGCAGATCATTGGCTCCATCCACATCTAGTGAAAACTAGTGTAATTGGATGAGTCATAGAACGCAAACACTCATTGGTTAGCTAAAGGAAACCATCAGAAGCAAGCAGGTGTTCTTCAAACTGCTAACGTGAATTGTCTATGCCATGCTACAATGTGGGATTCAGAAAAAGATGTTGAAATGTCTGAAAGGTCGGACACAGGCGAGAGCGTATCGGGAGACGGAGACCAACCAGACCTCCCTCATCCTTGGAAGAATTTTTCAAAATAGTCGAAAAATTGAGCTTTCAATTCATATAGTGGCATCTGGCTTTTTGTTTTTACTTTATACTTTCATACTTTAAGTAGTTTTTGGAGCGCATACTTTTTCACTTTTACTTGATTAAAGAGGTCAAGTTGATAATTCAACTTTTACCAGAGTGTTTTTAAACTGCAGTATCTATACTTCTAGATACTGCAGTATCTAGAAGTATAGATAGTGGGGGGGGGGGGGAGGCAGTAAACAGCAGCTAGGTTAATACAGAAAGTTCAGCTTATGTTTTAGGAGATTCTGGGACATCAGGCAGACGCTGGCTAAATCGGCAATGTTTGACAGGGGTCCAAAGCATAAAATAAATAAACTTTGAGCAAAAAGTGTTGTAAAAGTGTGGAATATCTCATATAAAATATGTCAATGTTCAAGGGGGCAGTCATTAACATGATTAAAAACACAAGGTCATCACATTTCATTCTTTATCTTCTTCCACTGCCACATAGTTTCAGTGACATTTATATCAAAATCTACCAAGTGTGCAGACCTCGCCCTGAGACCCTGTTTCATTTTGGGCTGCAGAGCAAAGCGCAGTGATGGTGCTCCCCAAGGATGAGTTATTTACTGTGACAAATCACAACTTAACCTTGGAAAATAGAGCTGCAAGGGAACAGTAAGGTGGTAATAGAGCATTGAGTGAAGGGGATTAAATCTAGAGGCGGGGGGGCACAATACAAAAGGAATTGGAAGGAAAAAATAAAACAAAAAAAACGTTCAGTTGCTAGGGGCTACATAATGAGAGAAAGATCAATGGAAGATAAAGGAGAGTAAAACAGCAAAAAGGAGGCAAATGAGAGAATGGCAAAGAGAAATTGAGGAGAAGCGACTTAAAGAGGAGTATGCGGAGGAGTGAAAGAAGAAAGGGGAAGAGGGTCAGCTGGAGTGGGCAGGATATTGTGGAGATCGATAGTGATAGTGAGACAAAGAGTCGAACTGAGTGGGAGGCATTAGAGTGAGAGAAAGAAAGGTATCTGAGCAACAAGATTGGTTCAATGCAGCAAAATACTGAGCAAACTTACAAATAACAGCAACATGAACAAAGTGGCTAATAGTTTTAGTGGCGAAAAATCTTTGTGGGTTCTCAGGTGAAAACCTCTAATTGCCTTTTATGTTCCAGTAGAAAGCATTATCAACCATGTATAACTTTATGCCAGGTGCGATTTTTGGACCTAATTCTAAAAGTTAGGATGTATTTTGTTTTTATCATCCTATATTTAAATCTATTAAGTAGGTTTAGGCTTCACTCTCTTTTAAAAATGCTTGTTTTAAAAAAGCTAAAAAGGATAATTATAATTATTATTTCCCTCTCTCGGGAAAATATGCCACTTTGAGTCAAATCCTCTTGAATTAATTAGTTATTTTTTGAAAATAACTTAATAAACTCATAGCTTTTATGTATTTTAGTTGCATTTTCCAAACTAAATCCCATAGTCATCTGTAGTGTAACATTTATTTTAACACTTAAGGGATGAAAATCATTTATTTCAATCACTAGCATTTAACCAGAGTCGGTAAATCTAATACCAATAGCTGTAAAGTCTCCTGCTTTGGCCAGGAAACTTATTTATATTAACATGCTTTACCCCTCTTTCCCACTGCACTCCCATATTAGCAGCGTCTTGTAAATTCCCCATATTATTTTATTATAAAATTCTGTGGTGCAAAGTCTGCAGTGTGTAGAGGCGCCCCTATCAGGGAGGCGCCAAAGCTATGAGCAGACGGACGTCCTCCAGCCATCCGTCTGCTCCAGATTGCATTCCATCGTGTGCGTGACTCGGTTAGCAGGAACGAGGATTTATATGAAGGACCAGCTGCGGTAAAGATGGACTCGCATTAAAGGGAAGCTATCATGCAAGAGGCTCTCTAGGACTGGGCAATTAATTGCATTTGCAATATAATCGCAATTTGGAAATTTGCTGTTTTCAAATCGCAGAAGCACTCAATTTTAGTCACAATACACTTAAAAACACACCCAATTTCTCCCTTACTTTACGTTAATACAACATAGACATGGTTGTGCTCAGTGCAAAGAAAAATCACAATAAAATTGCAATTATAATATTGGTTGAAAATAATTACAATTTAGATTTTTGGCAAAATCCTTCAGCCCTGGTGAGCGTATGTTGATGTTTAGCCAAGGTTCTGATTTGGACCTGTAGATATCTGTTGAAAAGGGAGCAACAGAGTCTGAAATCTTTGAACCTGAGGAGTTCTAGAAAAGAGGGAGGTGGGCATTAGGGCTGGGCGATAATTCAATAACGATATATATCGATCGATAGACGTGAGGCGCAATAGAAAAAAATAGGCTCGATAAAAGTTCGATAAAAAAGAAACGCAGTTTTCCTTCCTTCTCATTGTAGCCTAGCATGTAGGTTTATGCTAGTCACTGCTTCCTCCCAACCAATCACAATCGCGGACCCAGGTACGCCGTCACCAAACGCCGCCCTCTCAAACAACAACACAGAGCACATGAAGATGTCGTGTGGAAGCTCATTGGTAGAATTCTCTTATGATAGAAAGAAGGCTGACGATTCACTCCATTGTCTCCGGAGGGGGGAAACATTTATTTACAAAACCGAATTCATACAGCTGTCTTAAACACTTCATACATTCAGCGCTATGTCCTCACATCTGTAGTTTTCCCCCACCTTCAATCCATTGAGGGCGGCCTTTTATAGGCTCCACAACGCACTGTGTGGATGCACGCGCACGACTGGACGCTCTGAAGAACCTTCTGGAAGTTCTTGTCCTGTGACCCGATTGCATGCGCGTGGGCCTTAAAGACCCTGTTTTGCAAAGACTTGTGACTTCCAGCTTGTAAACATCCTGTTTTCATGTTGCAATCTCTGTGTTGCTAAGTGGGCATAAGGTCAGAAACAGGACTACATAATGCAGTACAACTGCTTCCTTGTTTGGCAAGCCAGCCAGCATTAGAGACTTTATTATTGCTAAGACTCATACTTGAACTTCAAGATGTACTGTTTTGTTGCTAAGTAAGTATAGGGCCATAATATTCTGATTCTGATTTCTGATATAAGACAATAAACTGCTACTATATTCGCAGCAAGGAGAGGTGGAGGAAATTGTTCCAAAGAAAGGTTTTTGTAGTTCGCCAGTTTGGCAGTATTTCGGTCATGGCAAGTCGGACTAAAAACAAAAAAGGACAAAAAAGTCTGATAACACAACCAACTTTTTTTTTTTTC